TAGGTTCATGTACATGATTCTCTTCTCTGCATGAAGAATGGCAGGGGAGGGTATGAAAGGTTTCAGGAAAATAACAGGGTAACATATGAATAATATACACACTGGAAGACAAAGTATACTCCATGTATTCACACCAGGACAGAGTGTATGACCAACATGCAGGAGCATCCAATGCCCAGTCTGTCCGACACTCTATCCTGCCATGAATGAATGGAGGAATCTTTGTTTTCCTGAGGTCGCAGGGGGCTCGGCCTCCTGCATTCAGCAGTATAGTGAGATATTATCTTCATTTTGTAATTATATTATTTTTACTTTGCCCCAAAATTTCCCTGGTTCCTTTCATGCCTCCCCTTGTAATTGAGGCCAAGAATGTGGGGGGTTGGAGGGGGGGGTCCACAGCATAATTCCTACAAATATATGTACCAAAGCTGTAGCAATCAGTTTTGCAAAGGTGTTCTGAAAAATTAACAAATAAAATTTGCTCAAACATTTCATATAATTCTATCGCAAAATAAATATATGGCAGCCATTACTTTTAATCTTTGAAACAGTTGCTGCCCTGTCTGGCTATTACTTTTGTAATATGGTCATTACAGCCCTTCAAATAAATGCTTAAAATCACTTTTTACCCTCATTTATAAATAAATACAGCATAGCATGTGGTTAAATGAAGAACCCATCAGCATTCAGTCAACAGTCTCAATTAAAAAATTAAATGTTACTTGTTACTGTTACTTGTTAACTATTCAAAACCGAACCAGAAACCCTATTTCTAAGATTATATCAAGAACAGACAAACAATAGACATAGAATTGGTCAAGATAGGTTGGGTACAGTTAACTTACTAATACCCAAGCCAAGATATGAGCTTTCTTTAACTCCTTGTTTGTAGATGACTACGATGCCATGGTGGCATAGCACCGATGCCAAGGGTGGCATTTCTACATATGCAGCCCATAGAGATATACCTGTTTAGTGAACCACATGGCTGCTGAAAAAGCCCACACACAATGGGCTAAACAAGGCTAAAATGAGTCTTTAACCCAATGGTGACAGGTTAAGAAAACTAAAAAAAAAAAAAAAAAAAAAACTATGCTCTGGCGATCAATGGCAGCGCGCTGACTTTGAGCACAGGAGTTTGATATATCAAGCCAAATCAACGGCTTGCCGCGCTTACAGCTGCACGCCACATTTCAAGCAGTTTGTTTTCACGCCTATAGGTGTGACCTGTTGTGAAGGGTTTAAGACTATTTCATGGCATGGATACTTGCCATCCGGCATATGGACCTGGTGGGTTACAGATGCCACCTAGTATGAACAAATTAAATGAGGTTACACTGGTTTAGACAATTTAGTCTCTTCTCAAAGGAATGACCCTTAGTAGGGTAATTTAGATTAATCATTAATTCTAGTGAGTTTCAATACACACTATGATTTTTTAACATTTCATAACTTATTCTGGATATATACATATACTAGAATGACTTATTTTGGTAAATATTTACAAGATACCAGCAGTGACTTTCAAATCACAGCTTCCTGAACTGTATTCCATTCATGTCTCCTTGAAAATTGCTGTGATCTCGGATGAAAAGCCTACAATCTGAACATATCAGTATAGTATCATGTAATTGCTGTCGGTTTTATATTTTGTGTTGTGACAAAGCCTAGCAAATCTAAAATATGAGTCCTGGGAAGAAGTTACATTAGACTGTTCCTTTAAGAATAAATCAACAACAAGTTTTATGGAAGTAGTTATTTAGCCTTAGTCAGAGTGCCAAAGGTGCAGATGCCACATCAATTGGTACAAGGCCAGTGACAGACAAGAATGTGTCCTGCCTATTTACATTTACACTAAAAAGTTAATGGACATCAACTAAAAGTAAAGAAAAAAAAAGGAATTAGTTACCGCAAATGACGTACCCTCAAGAGACAAAAACCCGAAACTAAGATATCATGCAAAGCCAAACAATGTAAAACTAACCTTTCCTACCTTCTATTTATTCAATAGAAAAGGGCTAAAGCTCTTTGTGCCCCTACTTTATTAGTATTCTGCGCCAATTTATAGGAAACGGACATTAAGAACAGTGTGAGGGTGGACCTAGTGTTGTGGACCTAGTCACTTAGCGGTGATATAGGAGCGGATATTTTCATCATTTCGCAGTAAATACAAGGCCACAGCAGCAGTACCAATGTTGTCTATGACTCTATTCTTTAAGCTCCATAAGACAGCAGTGTCCACTTATTTCCATCTCTGTGTGCCATTCTCGGTAACATTAACTAAAGAAAAGAAAAACAAAAGTATTTGCATCAGTATCCTTAAAATTTGTCCTTTCTTATTAGGCAATAATGGTATATTTATTTATCTAAATAAAAAATAAGAGTCGTTACCAATTCATTCACAGAGATTAAACCCTTACTATGGTGATAAAAGTAAACAAAATAATCACTTATAAAAAATGTTATGCATGACGCTGCAGATATTTATTATGCAAGGCAGGAGAGAACCAAATCATAAACAAAAATGGATATCATGCACAGGTACTGCAAGAAATTGGATCATAGCACTCCCTCCCTTTCCCAATGACCTTGAGATAACTTGAGATAACACTGATAACCTTATCTGTTCCCGTGCAAGCAACTTCGCAAGCACAGGGCCCTAATCCCCTTCTCCCATAACGCGCTTATCCCAGACTCACCAGCCTTAGCATATCCAATAATCCCTCCCAAGGCCACCGCCGAGGCGTAAGCGTAGCTAATGTAATCCACTCCCATTTGTGCGGTCGTTAATCCTGCCGGAAATCGCCCAAGAACAGGAGGCGACGGAGGAACAGCTGCTCGTCGGCCGAAGGGAAAGCAAGTGCGCGGGGGAGTTCGAATCGTCGCGCTCCGGACGCCCGGCCCCGAACGAGATCCCGAAGCAGAAGCCGTAGCCAGAGGGACCTTTGGGGAGTGTGTGTGTGTGTGTGTCTGTTAAGTGTGAGTGTAAGTGTATGTGTGTCTGTTAGCGTGTGTGTTTGCACGAGTGTGTGTGTATGTGTGTGTGTGTGTGTGTGTGTGTGTGTGTGTGTGTGTGTGTGTGTGTGTGTGTGTGTGTGTGTGTGTGTGTGTGTGAGTGTGTGTGTGTGTGTGTGTGTGTGTGTGTGTGTGTGTGTGTGTGTGTGTGAGTGTGTGTGTGTGTGTGAGTGTGTGTGTGTGTGTGTGTGTGTGTGTGTGTGTGTGTGTGTGTGTGTGTGTGTGTGTGTGTGTGTGTGTGTGTGTGTGTGAGAGTGTGTCTTACGTGTGAGTGTAAGTGTACGTATGTCTGTTAGCGTGTGTATTTACATGAGTGTGTCTGTATGTGTGTGTGTGCGTGCATGTGTGTGTGTGTGTGTGTGTGTGTCTGTGTATGTGTGTGTGTGTGTGCGTGTTTGCGCGTGTGTTTGCATGCATGTATGTCTGTTACGTGTGAGTGTAAGTGTGTGTGTGTGTGTGTTAGCGTGTGTGTTTGCATGTCTATTATGTGTGAGTGTAAGTGTGTATGTGTAAGTGTATGTGTATGTTTGTGTGTGTTTGCATGTGTGTTTGTGCGTGTGTCCGTGTGTGTGTGTGCGTGCGCGCGTGTTTGCGTGTGTGTTTGCATGCATGTATGTCTGTTACGCGTGAGTGTAAGTGTGTGTGTGTGTGTGTGTGTGTGTGTTGTGTGTGTGTGTGTGTGTTAGCGTGTGTGTTTGCACGAGTGTGTGTGTGTGTGTGTGTGTGTGTGTGTGTGTGTGTGTGTGTGTGTGTGTGTGTGTGTGTGTGTGTGTGTGTGTGTGTTTGCATGTCTATTATGTGTGAGTGTAAGTGTATGTGTGTGTGTGTGTGTAAGTGTATGAGTATGTTTGTGTGTGTTTGCATGTGTGTGTTTGTGTGTGTGTGTGTGTTTGCGTGCGTGTGTGTGTGTGTGTGTGTGTGTGTGTGTGTGTGTGTGTGTGTGTGTGTGTGTGTGTGTGTGTGTGTGTGTGTGTATGTGTGTGCGTGTGTGTGCGCGTGTGCGTGCGCGTATGTGTGTGATAACGGATGGGATTTGGTGTTATTAATCTTCCGTAGATAATATCTGATAAACGCGGGGATTTAACGATATTTTTAGCATGAGATATAGATAGATAAAAACGATAGTAATTTGGAATTTGATTATATTTTCGAGAGGAATTCCGGTACATTTTCTCCTTCAGTTATTGAAAGGCCAATTGAACGTGAGATTGAAGACTTTTTTAGGGACAGAACATTTAAAAAAATTGCGACAAAGATAGAATTTCAGTGAAAAATTCATAGACCTGTGTTGATGGGGTATGTGCGTGCATGAACTCACGAGCGGCGATAATGATGAAAATTATTGACTATCTAAAGAATGTGCAAGTGATACATGTATTAAAGGTTTAAATTCCATTGAATTGCTTAATTCTCCGCATGGTTATGATTATGAAAACTTTTTACTTCCTATAGTCATTATAATCGGCTGTTTAATTCGTAATACTTTATATGAAATATTTTTTAAAACAAATTCTTTGATGATAAACGAAGAAAAAAATGTTTCATTTAGAAAAAAGACTTGTTCCATTAACGAAGCATTGAAAAGACATACATATATATTAAATAACTTTTCTTGAAAGCTGTTTAGCTGTTTAGTTTGTAATACTTTATATAAAATATTCTTGAACAAATTTTTGATAATACATGAAGAAAAATGTTTCGTGTAGAAAATCCTGGTCCATTAACAAAGCAAGAAAAGACATCTATTCATACAAAAAAAAAAAAATCTTAGAAAACAATATATATTCATGTCAATCGAACGAAATAAGAAAGCAGTTAACCTGAATAAATTTTGGGCTCATAACCCCTCAAGGTCGCACTAGGGGTAATTTATTCATTTATTATATTCCTTTGACTTGAGAATAAATTATCCAATTACCAGAATAATCATAAATAGTCTATTCTTATGAAACACACCAATAATCAAGAAACAGGAAACGTTGAATAAAAAA